GGCCCAGTGGCCATAAACGAAAAACCCCCCCAAAAAAAAAAAGAAAAAAAAAAAAAAAGAAATTACATTTGCCAGTTAAAAGGAGGCAGCAATCAATAAAGGCCTTTGCTTATTTTCTTTAGAAATTGTTGTTCTTTCTTTTATAATTACAAAAGTAACACGTGTTCATTTTAGAAAGCTGGGTCTGGCTTATATAGATCTGTGAGTTTATTCATAGATTCCAGGACCTACACACTCATCCTAAAGAAAAGCTCACAGCCCAAACCCTTCTGAGGGTCGGCTCTGTGCAATTCCTGATAAAGCACGGACAGTGACATACCAGACAAAATCTTGGCATCAATAGAAGAGGAAGAAGGCACTGCTAACCAGTAGAATCTGTTAGGATCTTTATTTGTTTATTTATTTTTAAGAGATATTTTTCCTATAGAGTGTATGCACTTGCTGGAGAAAAAGAGACAGAAAGCGAGAAATTACCACCACCACCCCCAGGGGGATGGCCACGCCACAATCCCTTCCCCTCCATTCTCTTCTCAAGATCTTGGATATGCAAGCACTTGTGCCTAGCATGTATTTTTTTAAAAATTATTATTTATTTAATTAACTCCATTTGTTGTTATTATTTTTTAATTTGATCAGAGAGAGAGAGAAAGGGAAAGGAAGAAAGCAAGCCATGGTGGGACTTGAACCACAGCCAGCCATGTGGGAATCAAGCATCTTTAACCACCACACCACCTGCCAGCTCCCTCTCCCCACCTGCGTGTTTTTTAAACCTCTGGGTTCCAGACTCAAGCCAGGGTCAATGTAGGAGTCCAGCAACATAAACATTATGCCATCTGCTAGTCTCTGTTAGGATCTTTGAGAAGAAGGTATTTTCCTTGCTCCTGAAGCAGAAATAGGGAGACTCACTGAGCCAGGTGTTAAGGCCATTCACGTCCTGAGTCAGGTCTTCCTTTGACACATCTCCCACATCCACCCTTTCCTTTCCTATCATCATCACCATCCTTGTCTGCCAGGACTGCTGAATCCCAGCTGGTCTTTTGTTCTTTAAAGATTTTTGCCAAGGGGCATATGCGCTCACTGGAGACACAGAGAGGGCAAATGATAAATCACACCCCAAGGGGATAACCATGCCACAATCCCTTCTTCTCCATTTTCCTCTTGGGATTCTGGGCATGCATACAGAATGTGCCTAGCTTGTTTTTTAAGCCACTGGGCTTGGGACTTGAACCACAGAGCTGGCCATGTAGGATCCAGTGCCTTTATCACTATACCATCTACTGTCCCTCTCTCTACCCCAACTGAAATGAGTTACTCTCTTAACATTAGTCTTTCCTCTCAGTCATCAGTTTGTCTATCTCGAGACACTGTCACTGTCCTGTGCAAAACTGCTGGTACTCCCTACTGTCTTTAAAGCAAATCCTAACCTCCACTTCTGGCAGCCATGTGATCACACCCATATCACTGACCTGCCTAGTCTCCTCTCTACAGAGGGCAGTTAGGGTTAGGCTGGTGTAGCAGAATGAAATGCTATTAAATCTAGAGGCACGACATCCTGATTTTAGCTTCTTCATGAAGAAAATGGGCATAACACAATGCCTGCCCATGCCTACTTGGGCTGTTGCAAAAATCCAAAGAGATCTCTAAGCTATGTGAAAGTGCTCCAGAAACTATAGAGCACATAGGGGCCAGCAAGTAGCACAGTGGCTAAAGTGCTGGATCCCATATGGTTGACCATGTGGTTTGAGCCCTGGACCCAGTGGCTTGAAAATCACAGTGGGCATCTGTACATGCAAGTCCAAAATCCCAAGAGAAGACTGGAAGAGAAAGGACTACAGCATGGCTATCTGCCCTGGGGGTGATTTCTGACCTTCCCTCTCTCTCTGGTGAGCACATATGCCCTAAAGAAACACTTTTAAAAGAAACTACAGAGCACTGTACAATATCACACAAACCCTCAACTACTGCCATGTCCCTTGCTCCGTAGGTCCCAATTTGACATTCTTTTAAAATGAAATAACTTCTCCCCTCCCCTGCATTTTGAATGTAGTCATCTTAGGCACTGGTTCTCAGACTCTGGTGTGTAGCAAAAAAGCCTGCAGCTCTTGTTAAAGATACAAATGCCCAGTCCTGGGGCTTCTGCTTCAGCAGGTCACTCTCTACAGGAAGGATCATTGAAAGGAAAGAGACAGAACAGAGGGGTGAGCAGGGAAAGGAGAAGCAGCACTGATACCTACGGACAGCACAGGTCATCAAGACTGGGGACAGAATTACCAAAGAGAAGCCTTTCCAAGGTACTGCCCACCAAGTCACTGCCTGACCTACCTCCTTATGGACATGAGTAATGGCTGTGGAGAGTTCTAGGCCATCAAGCAAATTATTGCCATCATAATCATGCATTTTGAAATAGTGGAGCTGCAGTTCTTGTGGGGACATCTCTGCCTCTGGTTTGTTGATGACACCTTCTAGATGCTCCATGATATGCCTAAAAAAACAAAAGTCAGACTCAGACCACTTGGCAGAGATATTTGGATCATGACAAAAGCTTAAGGACTCTGGAAATTCAAGACCTTAAACTTTATCTAGTATGAGAAAACGGAGATGGTGGCCAGTCACACTCAAGGATAATACATAGAAGACAGCAAATCTATTAAGCCATCCAGATTATAGGGTGCTTTGCCCTCTTTATTAGAATTTTGTTATAACTCTTTTTAAGCCTTTAATTTAAAAAAATATTTTTAAATTAAGGAAAACAAAGTATGATGTCTAAGGATTCCTGGCCTCGGATAAAAACTGCAACAATCATTCAATGTTTGAATATGTCATTTAAAAAAAATCATTTTGTAAGAGTCAGGAAATATTAGCTATAATCTGGATTCTGCCAATAATGTGTGTGTGTGTGTGTGTGTCTGTGTCTGTCTGTCTGTCTGTCTCTGACAAAGAGAGAGACTGAATTCACACAAGTAATTTATCTCATTTGGGCCTCAAGATCTTCTACCTGTGATATGATGATGAAAAAAGAATACCTGACTTATGCAAAGCTATTATCATCCTTAAAACATTTCAAGGAGCTCTACAAATAGGAGAGCGGAAAAGAGGACAGTGTGTCCTTGCAGCTGGCTGTAGCTGCAGCTGACAGGGAGGCCCTAGACCACAGCCCGGGCTGAATACGTACTCTTGGTCGTGCACTGTGTTCTTATCCAGGCCCACGCTGCCAGGGTGGGAGAAGCTGGCCCCAGGTTCCTCAGCCCTGGCACCTGGGGTACAAAATGCCCAGAGCAGGCCACACAGGAAGGGGGTTCTAAGCAGCCTCAGGGATCTCATGGTCTCCAGTACCTGGGAGGTGGGGAACACAGGAGATAAAAGCAGAGGACAAGATAGGTTTCTTTCAAGATTTGACAAGGTGCTCCAGGGAACCCAACAAAAAGCAGCAAGGTTGGGAAGACTGCACATCAAACTGGGCCCAAGGCCAACTCTGCCACCAGACTATGGATGGCCTTGGGCACTCCAGGCTGCCATCATTCAAATAGGGAGGAGGGAGGTCCATGACATTTTCTGAAGCCCTTTCAGAGTACCAAGCAATTTCATGAGAGCTTAATGGGCTCAGAGATTGGCCCTACCTACTAGAAGCTTGAGAGAAATACTTTCTACTTAAAGCACTAAGAAAGGCAGAAAGTGGAATGTACTAGAGAAAGATAAAATGCTCTGGGGATTCTGAGGTAAACATGCCCTGGGTGAAGGAAAATCTGAGAAGGCTATGGACATGGTATTAGCTGGGCCTGGACAGACATGCAGGGATTGAAGGATGGAGAGACAGGTGGGAGCACAGTGGCAGGTGCAGTCTAGTGGGAAAGAAACTGCAAGCAGTTCAATGGGGCTGGAGCTTAGAGTTATGAACAGAAGGTAGGCTGCAAAGGTGGAATAAGACTGGACAAGGCTTTGCACACTAGGCTAAAGGGGTGATGTTTCCTGAGGCTTCATGGGGAGCCACTGATGATTCATGAACGGGAGACGATATCAGAACTTGGTTTCAGAATGACTAAGGAGAGCATGACCAGAGAAAGGACATGGGAGCTGAGGGGACAAGAAGGTGGCTCAAATCAAAATCTGCAGGAGTGGACACAGAGAAGAGGACGTTAACTCCTATCTTGCCCACCTCCCAAAGCTGTGACGACAACAAGTACCTTAATCACTATGACAGAGCATTGGAAAGGAAAGTCACAGAGAAATTAGGATCTCATCAAGTACTCCTGGGGTTTGTCTATCCTTGCAATTGCAGTCAACAACAAGATGACACAGTGGGATACAGAGCAAGTCCCCCAGAAGCAGGGAGCACTTCATTCCCACCAGTCTCCCCTATCGTAGATTAGGAAGGCCTTTAATAACTGTTGGTGCAAGGCTGGGTGGTGGCACTGTGGAAGACTGGACACTCATGGGAAAGGTCCTGGGTTGGTGACATATGACCTCCCTGAGCATGCCAGGCATGCACACACAGGCCTGTGATCTGGAATGGCTCAGACGTGGGATGGATTATGGCATGGGGACCCTCTTAGAAGTGTTTGTCTGTCTCTCTCTCTCTCATGGAATAAATACACTTTAAAAGTAAATAAATAACCATTAATTCAACTGCAAGTCTTAGTCCCTCCTGGGGCTTCTAGACTGACTTCAAAAGGAAGAAGGACATTCAGGAGTCCTACATACAAGAGGACTTCAAGAAATTCATGGAGGAACCAGCAGGTAGTGCGGTGATTGAGGTGCTGAACTTTTCACATGACTGACCACAGTTCACATCCCAGAACTGGTAGCTTACTTTCTCTCTCTCTGTGTATGTCTCTTCAGTGAACGCATGTGAAAAAATAATTTAAAAAATTTTCTTAAAATTTCATTAAAACAGGGACCAGCAGTTGGCGTAATGGCTATGGCGCTAGACTCCCATGTAGTTGGCTGCGGTCCAAGTTCCAGACTCGGTGTCTTAAACTCACATCAGGTGCATGTGCGTGCGTGCCCAAGATCCCAAGAGGAGAATGGAGAAGGGATTGCAGCGTGGCCATGACCCCAGGTGGTGATTTCTCGCTTTCTGTCTCTCTGGTGAGCACATGCACCCTATAGCAAAAATCTCTCTCTCTCAAAAAAAAAAAAAAAAAAAAACTTCATTAAAACATGGAATTAAAGTACAAGTTTATTTTAGTGTGAAAAAATTGAAAAAATTGAAATCATGCAGTTATTTTCATAACAAATATTTTCTTTGAATTTTTGAAACTGTTCCCCCGTATAAAACAAACCATAAATAAATAAATAAATAAAACACTTTCCAAAAGGCAGGATAGATTCTGCTGGACAAAGACTAGTGATTTCAGGGTTGGCAGGTGGTATGATGATTAAGGTGCTAGATTCACACATGGCCAACTGTGTGGTTCAAGTCCCAGACCCAGTGTTTTGCTTTCTCACTTTTTCTTTCTTTCTCTCTCTGTGGTAAAATTTAAAATAAATAATAATAACAAATAAAATTAAGTAAAATAAACAAATAAATCTTTAAAAATAAATAAATGACCAGTGATTTCTTTTTTATTTAGAGGTTTTTGCTATAGGGCACGTGCACTCGCCAGACAGACAGAGAGACAGACAGAGAAACAGAAAGCAAGAAATCACCCCCCAGGGGGGATGGCCATGCTGCAATCCCTTCTCCTCCATTCTCCTCTCGGGATCTTGGGCTCGCACACACACGTGCCGGGCATGAGTTTTAAGCCACCGGGTCCGGACGTGAACCGCGGTCGACTACATGGGAGTCCAGCGACATAGCCATTATGCTAACTGCTGGTCCCATACCAGTGATTTCTAAGGGGCCAATTGTAGCCCACCATCTCAAACCTAAAGCAGTAAAGATAAAGTACAATGTACTGGTCATATCATTACATAGCTACATATTATAGTGCTCTGCTCAGAACTGCTGTTGTCACTACCTTCTGTACCTGGAGCTGGGAAGCAGATGTATTATAGTCCCTCTCACTTATTCTAAAAGGCTGTTAGGGTAGAACCCTAATTCTTCTATTCTACAACATTTAAAAGAATTTCCTATACCCATTTTGCCCATTAGCAGTATCATCTCCCATGGCGCTGCTCTAAAAGCGTGACCATCCTCCCTGGGGGATGACTTCTCACTTTCTGTCTCTCGGTCTCTCTCTGTCTTTCTGGTAATAGTCGGGACCAGAAGATGGTGTAACGGTTATGTTGCTGGACTTCCCCGTGGTTGACAGTAATTTGAGTCCTGGGCCTGGTGGCTTAAAACTCACACTGGGCATGTGTGTATACATGCCCAAATTCCCAGGAGGAGACTGGAGGAAAAGAGACTGTGGCGTGGCCATCCTCCTGGGGGTGGGAGGTGATTTCTCACTTTCTGTCTCTCTGTCTCTCTCTCTGGCAAGCGCATGCACCCTATAGCAAAAATAAAAAAGGACTATGGCCATTGAGATATATACCTTCCAGAGTGCTAAAAAGCAGCATCTAGTCCTATTACTAAACAGTGACATCATAATGAAAAATGCATACTTAATAATTTTTTAAAAATGAGAAAGAACCAGTTGCAAAGGTCTATAAATAATAATTTACTTTTATAAAATTTTTAAAAGAATTATCTTATTTAACTTTGTTTATTTCAGTTTGACCAGAGAAGGAAAGAGAGGGGGAGAGAGGAAGAGAGAGGGAGGAGGGGGGAGAGAGAGAGAGAGAGAGAGAGCGCAAGCAAGCTACCAGACACAGGACTCAAACCACGGTTGGCCATGTGGAAGTTCACTCCGCCACCTGCTGGCCCCCACTTTTGTAAAATTTTTAAAATATATTTATTCCAAAACAATGACTAAAACCTGTTAATAAAGATTATCTGGGGTTATAAGGTCAGGAGTGATTATGATTTTCTTCTTTTATTTTCATATTCTAAAATTTCAACCATAAACCTTTTTTTCTTTACAAGTATGTATTCAATGTAATCTATCCCATACTTTTCTTTTGATACTATATGAAAAGGATTGAAAAAAGAAAAAAGAGAGTTTCCAGGTTCGAATTTCAGACCCAGCAGCTTGTAAAACATGCTGGGTGCATATGTGTGCATGCTTAAAATCCTAATAAAATGGAGAAATGGAAGGGAAGGGATTGTGACATAACTGTGCCCTACTGAGGAGCAGGTGGGGTGCTTTCCTTCTCTCTCTCATTGTCTCTGTCCAACAAGTGTATGCACCCTCTGGCAATTAAAAAAAAAAGAGTTTTTAAAGAATTTTTATGGGGACCAGCAGATGGAGTAAGGACTATGTTGCTATACTCCCATGTAGTCAACCGCAGCTCGAGTCCCAGACCAAGTGGCTTAAACTCATGTCGGGTGCGTGTGAATGCACACCCCAGACCCCAAGAGGAAAATGGAGAAGGGACTGCAGTGTGACCATCCCCCCCTGGGGGGTGATTTCTTGCTTTCTGTCTCTGTCTCTGTCTTTCTGGCAAGCGCATGTGCCCTATAGCAAAAACTTCTCCAAAAAAAATAATTCTTATCTCAGGCCAACCAATGGTGTGGTGATTAAGGTGGCTAGATCTCACATGGCTAACTACATGGTTTGAGTCCTAGAACTAGCAGCTTGAAAACCACACCAGGTGTGTGTGTGTGTGTGTGTGTGTGTGTGTGTGCACCCAAAATCCCAAGAGGAAAATGGAGAAGAAAGGACTGTGGTGTGGCCATCCACCTTGGGAGTTGCTTTCTTACTCTTCCTCCACTCCCCCCATCCCATACCTCTCTCTGGTGAGTGCCTATACTCTCTAGCGAATTGGAAGAAGAAAAAAAAAAATCTTATCTCCGGAAATTAATTCAGGAGCAGCCAGAAACTACACTTCCAATTTTACCAGCAAGTGTTCATACCCTGATAAGGTCCCTGCCACTGTACCTGCTACCAGAAAACAAGGTCTCAAGTTACCTTTAACAGTGACTGCCCAGGCCAGAGATGAACAACTTGTTCTGACCACACATCTTAGAGTTCTGGGACAGGAGGGACTAGACAGGGGAGTCTAGTTCCTTCCAAGCCTTTCAGGCACATTTACATCAGATGGCTTCTTTCTCCAACAAGCCTTCTTCTACGCCAAGTCTGGCTTAGGTTTTCTTCCCATATGTCCCAAGTATGTCCCCTCTGAAGGCTATCTATTGCTAATGGCCGCTGTAAATATATCTTGAAAACTACCTGGCTGTCGGTGCCCCTTGCTGGACCGGGCTGTGAGGAGGCAGGAAGTGAATCCACATTTCCAGCACTGTGGCATTGTACCTAGCATAGAAGATGGTGGTTCTCAGCCTGTGTGCCAAGACCCTTGGGAGGTTGGGACAATCACCTTCACAGATATGCTGCCAAGTTTTGATGTCAATGGAACTGAGATAAAACTTTGATTTTGGAGATGTCTACCAGACAGATGGCTGAGCTGAGTAATCATTGAAGCCACAATCTCTAACATTCCCTCTAACTACATGGTTGGATGCTTAGCATATCAAATTGGTGTATGTTAAGGGTGTTCTATTCAGATAACACCAAAAAATAATCAAGTGATTAATAATACAATAGTTATGAGTCCTAATTACCATTTCTTTAAGGGGGAGGCAGAATAAAGGCCAAGAAGCACCAGTTATGACCTTATCTCATTTTAGTTTGCAGTTGCAGCTTTCTATGTATTGGCATACCACAAAAGCCATATCCCTAAACACACAGGAGAAACTCCTCCCAAGTGCTACAGTGGCAAAAGGGAATCTGAGTGCCACCTAACAAATTAAATTGCTCACTGTCAAAAGGAAACAGCAGCTACCCATTCTTTCCAAAGAACAAGTTGCATCATCCACACTTAGCTCAAGGCCACAGGGAAACAGCGTGGCAGATAAATCCCAGGAGTTCCTTAGTTCACTGGCTTTCTTTAGGAAATTATAGAAGCCAGGCTGGAGAAAAATCCAAGGAAAGAGGGATTTCTGGAAAGAAAATCCAAAACCCATGCCTTGAAACATTGCACTGGAGCAGCCTCAGTCCTGGGACGGAAGTGCTGGACCATGGTTAGAAGTGGACCTCCTACGAGGCCTTGACCCTGACAGGGCTCCCGTCACTGCTTGGCAGCTTCTTCCTGTCCCAGAGCCTTTGTTTCCTCTGGTTACATCTGTCAATTCTCCCAAGCCTGGTTCAAATGTTGCCTCAGGATTTTTTTTTTTTTTTTAGATATTTTTGCTGTAGGGCATGTGCGCTCACCAGAGAGACAGAAAGCAAGAAATCACCCCCCTCCAAGGGGGATGGCCAATGCTACAATCCCTTCTCCTCTTGGGATCTTGGGCATGCATGCACACGTGCCCAGTTTTAAGCCTCCAGGTCTGGGACTCAAACCAGTCTATTACGTGGGAGTCCAGCAATGTAACCCTTTCCTCATCTGCTGGTCCCATCTCTTTCTCTCTCTTTTAAAGAGGTGTTTGCTTTAAGACACTGGAGAGAGAGAGAGAAAGAGACAAAGATGGTGAGATGAAAAGTGAGAAATCCCCCCCAACCCCAGGCAGGTGGCCAAACTATAGTCCCTTCTCCTCCAGTCTCTTCCCAGGATCTTGGGCATACACACACACACACACACACACACACACACACACACACACCTGGCCTAAGTTTCAAGCCACCAGGTCCCTGGGACTTGAATTGCAGTTGGCCATGTGGAAGTCCAGCAACATAACCATTATGCCATCTACTGGCCCCAACCTCAAGATTCTTTCATGGAAAAGAATCAGTCTGCAGCCTCTCACTTTGATTCCACCTTAATATACAGTCACATATTATCCTCCTTTGCTGTTTTTCTTATCTTTCTCTTAGAGGGCTAAGACCTACCTTTTCTCTCATCTACCCTAGAGAGTTCTGCTTAGCTGACCCAGGGGAAGAACGTGTTAATGTCTGAATTAGGGTAGTGAGTCTTGGCACCTAGGTATGTTACTGCCTATCACAGAGGATCAAGCCTAAGCTGGAACTTCCCTTTGGAGGTTTCCCACCAGTGATTTGGCCTGGCCCACACTTCCCTCTCATTGTGTCATTAGTCCTATCAGCATATAAGAGTCTAGAGCCAGCTTTCCTCTCAGCAGCTGTTGGAAACTTTTTCTCAGGTCTGGGACCCTGAGGTAAAAATCTAAACGCAAAACAGTCAACACTTACCAATATTCAGACCCAGAGTCAATGTTAAAGAAAAACTCTGACCAGTGCTTCCCTATTTGCCATGGCCAAGGCCCTGGGCTGAAGGCAAAAAAATAACTGGGTTCCTAGGCTGAAGAAGACTCCACAAGGCTAAGAGGTTAAGGCAGGCATTTAAGAACTTCAACTATTTGTTCATTTGGGGAGCCCAAGGAGCAGCCAAGCTTTATGTATACATTTAACCAACCTATGTAGAGCCTGGTAACAGCAGCAGCAGAGGTACCAAGGATAGGACTGTGAGCCAGACTCCTCTCACACAGTCTGGTGGGAGAGACTAGGAAACAGACATCCATGGAGTGATACAGAAGCCCCATCTCATACCCAGAATAACGCACAAAGGATAAGGACTATTTCAACTAAAGTGTAGTGCCTCTGACAGACGGAATATACCTTAATGAACACCTAAGCCCAGAAAGAAGTCCAATCTAGGAGCTAAAAAGTATTCAATATGGCTGAAGACATGGAGTGGAGACTGATGAATTTAGGGTACAAAGAGGACGGGCCATGAACGCCTTATAAGCCCTGTACAAGAACTTCTTGGAGCAATGGGGGTCCACAGAAGGGCGAAAAGGGGATGGGGGGAGGGTTCTGACGACATGATCAGATTTGTTTGAAGACTGTGGCTGCAGCTTCCTTGTACAGAACATATTACAGATGACCACAGAAGGGATGCAAGGGACCAGTCCGGAGGCTGAAGTAGTATACAGGAGCATGACGGTGGCCTGAACTAGGGCCAAGGAACGGGGGGCGATCCGAGAGCTTTGTGACGGATTTGATGTCAGGGGCGTGGGGCGGGGGGGGGAGTGTAGATGAGAATGACGTCCAGGTTCAGGCTGGGACAACTGGGTGGAAGGTGGTGCCACGACCAGAGAGGGACTACAGAAAGAAATCTGTTTCCCCCTCCTTCCCACGCCCCTGCTCCAGCACAGCCCTGCCAACCTTGCCAGACCCGACAGGACCCGATGTCTCCCCCAGAGGAAGATGGGCACCCCAGACCTCGGAAAAGGGAGAGATTGGGCTGGGGTTGCGAAAAATGCTTCTGCCTCAAGAGAAAGGCCCTATTCCCAACCAAGTGTCCAGAGGCTCTCGGACGCCGAGCTCCCAATCCCGCTGCGGACGCCTAAGTCCCACCCTCGGACCTCAGCCCCCAGGGCTGGACCTCGGTTGACCGCTAGTCCGCTTACCTGCACTGTCCCCACCGCAGACCCGAAGCCCTCCAGGGAGAACCTGCTAGCTCTCTCCCCGAACACCTTCTGAACCCCGCCCCCAGAGCAGCGCTGCGCACGCGCACTCCCTGCCGCCCGCCCATTGGCGCCGCGGGGCCCCACCTCCTGCCCTGAGGTCGGTTGTGTGGACAACTCGAGTGAGCCCACGTGTAACAGACCAGCGCCCAGCAGCCCAGGAGGGGTCAGGGAGATGCAGTTTTGCTTGCCTTTCTGAAAGCGACACTCGGCTGCAGTCCAGGTGAGGCCACTAGAAGCGCCAGGAGACCGGCAGGTTGCTAGGCAGCCCCGAAAGCCCCCAGGAACGTAAGTTGGCGTCTGACGCGGGACGGCGGATCCGGATGGGGCGGACCTTGCTCTTGCAGGTACGTTGGTTTCTCCAATGCAAGTTATGAAGAAAGATAATAGGAATCGTAACGAAAGGACTAGAGGACACTGGAGCCAGCTTTGGATCTTGCGTTTCGAAGACTGACCTACTTCCAGCTTCTGCTTGACCCATTGCACAAGCCGTGTAAGTCGCCGTACCCGTTCACTCCCTCATACCAAGATTTTGTGGGCGTCCCAGTTTAGATACCACCTTATCAGGAAAAGAGAACGCAAGAGACTGTGTGCTATTCCATTGTGTCATTATATAGTAATAGTACATTCTTATCCGTTCTACCACTGATGGAAACCTATGTAGCTTCCAATTTTAGGCTATTACAGATGATACGTTGAACAGTCTAGGACATGTCTTTTGTTGCACATCTGTTCACAGATCGGTTAGGTATTTACTTAAAGTAGAACTGCTAGCTTATAGGAAATGCTGTTGTTCAGCTTTATGAGACACTGCCAAAAGTATCTCCAACTGGTTGTGTCAGTACATACTTAAGCAAGAGCATATAAAAGTTATGTTGTTCTTCCTCCTCTCCAATACTTGGTACATCCCACCTTTTTAACTTTAGTTAAGAACTTATAATTCTGCTGAAGTCTCCAGACTATGAGAAGCTGTGTCTGGGCTTGAAAGAGGGGCCTGCACATAGTGTGTATGTGTGTGTGTGTATATATATGTATACATACTCTAGTGTACCTGGACTCTAAGGTGTATATAGGAGCTGGTAAGACTTATGGCTTTTAGATGTTATCTTCTTTTAGAAGAATGAGTGTATTCTATGTAAAAGTTCGTATATAGGAAAGAGGGTTGTACATGGGTTTTAGATAACTGAAGTGCTACACCAGACATAGTCTAGTGATTATATTGGTGATAGCCTAATTTCCACTTTGACTCCCTTCTCTCTTGTCTAGCTCCACAATAGAGACTAAACAACCACCACCAAAACCAATACTTGGGGCCAGCCAGTAGTGTGGTGAAGGTGCTAGATTCCCACATGGTAGACCATAGTTCAAGTCCTGGCTCCGGAGGCTTGAAAATCATGCTGCGTGCTTATGTATACCTGCCCCAATTTCTGAGAGGAGAATGGAGGAAAAGGGACTACGGCGTGGCCATCCCTCCTGGGAGAAGTGAATTCTCACTTTCCCTCTCATCTCTCTCTGGCAAATGCATGTGCCGTATGGCAGAAACTAAAAAAACAAACAAAAACAAACAAAACAACAACAAAAAACTCACTTTCCCATCTTTTTTGCAGCTTGAGAACCATAAACACAGTTCTAGGCATGATACCTGAGGAGAACTTAAAAGTCATTGGCATTTCTGATAAAAGTACAGCGATTAGTCCAGTCCTTTACCTTTCTTCATGGGGATGTAACACCTCAGCAGTCATCTTCCAACCATGGAAGGAAGTCATGAACAATTTCAGAAAGGCTACCCCAATGCAGCCAAGCCAAGACCAACAGCCGCTGCCTATCTCCAGATATCTTGGACCCGGCAGCTTGAAACTCACACCGGGTGCACGTGCCCACCCCAGATTCTGAGAGGAGAATGGAAAACAAGGGATTGTGACATAGCCATCCCCCCAGGGGATGATCTCTCGCTTTCTGTCTCTCTGTCTCTCCAGTGAGCACACGTGCCCTATAGCGAAAGTCTCTCTCCAAAAAAAAAAAAATTGGAAAAATGTTCATTTGATAGCACAGTCTGTATAATTATTTGATTATATATCATGGTTTAAAGTACACTTTAAATTTTTTCATTGAAATTTCTTTTGAGTCTTAAGTTATACATGGACATGCACGAAAATAAAATGGAACACAAAGGGTCTAATAAAGAACCAAGTTCGATCACCAGCTCTTTGCTCACTTGCTAACTGCTGTTTATGACCACACCAAGGCTAAGTAGGGGGATAGACTGGGGAGTGAATAATTTCTTTTTTTGATGCAATCAGATGTTAGTTGCCCTACTCCCATTTGACTGATGTTTAATGCTGAGTCACTCATGAATCTTTCTGTGCTATTCTGCTGGGGCCCTCACTGTAGTTCCCTTGACATGGGCAGCCATTGTCATGCAATGGGCTTTTGGTCTTTTCTTAATATCCAGTGTCCTCTGATCCTCCAGCAGACATTTGTTGAGCAAGATCCCTTTAAAAATGATCCCAGGCTGCTGGCTCAAGTGCTTATGAAAGGGTCTCGGACAACTAGACCAGGCAAGCCCAATGGGACCTGAACAGTGGAAGAAATACTGTGTGAGATGTCTGGGAAGATGGACCTAAGAGCACATCCCTGAAGAGTCTTGTGATCCCAAGCATGGCTCAGGAAGAAGAGGTAAGACTTCCCAATCCCTCTAGAAAGATGAAGAGAGAATGAAGCAAACAGATGAGATTTGATGATTCAGAAGAATGTGAAGTACACTGACCTGACTGTGAGAGGCTGTGGCAGGACCCTGACATTAGAAAGCATATATGGGGAGAATCCTGTGTTACAGTGGCTTGCACATGCAGAAAGCACAGGGGTGTGCTGTTCTTAGCTAATTTGCCCTTAGATCCATTCCTCGCTCTTTCCCTATTGTGTTTTATATCATTGGAGGTGGAGAGGGCTGACCCTTGAATTGCATTTTCTAGGCTTCTGATAACAGTTGAAGCAGGGCTTTATATTTATCTCTTTCTTATTCCTATTTCCAATAAGGGTGAAATACAGTGCTAGAGCTTGGAATTTGGGCTTGTATGGGATATTTTGAATGTAGGTATACTGTGAGTTGAGATGATGAGAATGATCATCTACATTTAATGATCTTGTTTCTCTCATCCTTGATTTTGTCAAAAAAATACAAGACTCCTGATGAAAAGTCTTAATTCTTGAAGTTCTAAACAATGTATTCTGTCCTGCTAATAAGTCAAATACATTAATGTTCCTTGAAACTCCTTTTTTTGTTTCCCTCTCCTCTCCCATGACACTGTTCTTGTTTAGAATTTTTGACATTAAGTATTCCACATAAACATTCCCTTTTTCTTTCTTTCTTTTTTTTTTTTTTTAAAGGTTTTTACAACAGGATATGTGTGCTTGCTGGAGACAGAGAGAGAGAGACAGTAAAAGGGAAAATGAAAAATCACCCCCTGGGGGACCAGCAGTTAGCGGAATGGCTATGTTACTAGACTCGCATGTATTCGGCCGCAGATTGAGTCCCGGACCTGGCTTAAACTCATGCCAGGCGCATGTGTGCATGTGCCCAAGATCCCAAGAGGAAAATGGAGGAGAAGGGATTGCGGCATGGCCATCCCCCCTGGAGGGTGATTTGTCACTTTCTGTCTCTCTGTCTCTGTCTTTCTGGCAAGCACACGTGCCCTATAGCAAAAATGTCTTCAAAAAAAAGAAGAAGAAAAATCACCCCCTGGGTGGGATGGCCATACTCAATCCCTACTCCTCCATTTGCCTCCTGGGATTTTGGGCAAGCATGCACAGGCACCTGGTATGATTTTCAAGCTACCAGGTCTGGTACTCTAACTGCTGTTAGCCATGTGGCAGTCCAGTGCCTTAACCACCATGCCACCTGCTGGCCCTAGCTTTTATTTTCAACAGCAATAAATTGATCAAATTTTTTGATCACCCTGACATCCCATATTTCTTGAAGGTTTTGAATTTGTGTTTCTGACTTAAACACTTCCTTCAGAAATATTTTCACTGTGGATTTTGTGTGCTAGATTTCTGAGGACTCTTTTGCTTGAAAGTATCTTTATTACTCTCACATAAAAGGAAAATTTGGCTTACATAAAACTTTATGGTGAGTTCTTTTTCTTCGGTACTTATATAAAAAATAATATTTGATCATAAGAAAAACATTATGGTCATCTAAAAAGATCAGGTGAATGGCATTTGACAAAATCCAATGTCCCTTCATGATTATAAAAACCTTTGAATAAATCAGGAATAGGATACTCCCTCAATCTGATAAATGGCATCTGTTGAACACTCACAGTTAGGGCCAGCCAGTGGTGTGATGGTTAAAACGACTAGGTCCCACATGGCCAACTGTGGTTCAAGCCAGACTTGGTGACCTAAAGAAGAGGTTAGCCATGTGGCAGTCCAGTGCCTTTACGTGTGTGTGTGTGTGTGTGTATGTGTGTGTGTGTGTACGTGTACGTGTACCCAGAATCCTGAAAGGAAAAATGGAGAAGGGATTGAGGCATGATCATTCATGTCCCATAAAGGGGTGCTTTCTTTCTCATTCCCCTGGCCCTTTTCTCTCTCCTTCCAGCAAGCATATTTGCTCTGTAGGAAGACAGGGAAAAAGCCCGCATATAACCTTCTCATAATGGGGCCAGCAGGTGGCATGATGGTTAAGGCACTGGACTCCCAGTTGACTGATTTCAGTTCGAGTCTCATACCTGACAGCTTGAAAATTATGCTGGGTGCATGTGTGCACGTGCCCGGAATCCCAGGAGGAGAAGGGATAGTGTTATGGCCATCCCCCTAGGAGGTGATTTCTCACTTTCCCTCTCATTGTCTTTCTTGTCTTCAGTGATTGTACGTGTCCTATGGTAAAACCTTAAAAAAGTTCTCATAGTAGAAGATCGAATGTTTTTCCCCTCAACATCAGGAACAAAAGAAGGATGTCCACATTTAACACTTCTGTTGAAAGTGTTCTAGTATATTCATCACACCACAGCTTCAAGCCATTGCAGAAAAATATAAAAGGTACAAATATTAAAATGTCTTTATTTGGGACTGGCAGGTGACGTGATGGTTAAGGCATTGGATTCCCACATGGCTGACCACAGTTCAAGTCCCAGACCTGGCAGTTTGCTTTCTCTGTTTCTCTCTCTTATCAAATAGAATAATAATAAAAATTAATAAATAAATTTTAAATGTCATTATTCAGAGATAATATCATCATGCACATAGAAAATCTGAAGTCACATGTTTGAAAATTGAGCAACTTGAACATTGAACTAACTAATCCTTTGATGAATTGGCCTTTAGATTCTGGGCTGTTTCCCATTCAGCTTTCAGTGTTTGGTTTGTTTGTTTTTAAGTATAAGTCTGTTCATTGTACTGCACTGTTTAAATAAAATGTTGACACATACCTAATCAGAATAAATCTACCCAGCTATATCAACTGATTCAATTGGGATAAAAGGCAGTCCACGAACTAGTTCCTAAACTGACTACTCCCCTCCCTCCATTAAAAAACAAAAACAAAAACAAAATAAAACATTATTTTCTATTTTTCTCTAAGCACCATTAATAATTATTTTTTCTTTTATACCAAATATCTGACAGAATTTTAATAATAAGTGAATGGATGGATGAGCAAATGAATTAGTTAATTTTCTTTTCTTTAAGCTTCCTAGAAGGTGCATGTGCTCTCCGGAGGGAGACAGAGAGAGGAGGGAAAGTGAGAAATCACTTCTAAAAGGGGATGGTCACATCTCAGTCCCTTCTCCATTCTCCCCTCAGGATTTTGGGTACATACACATACTTAAGTACCTGGCATGATTTTTAAATCTCCAGGCCCAGGACTTGAACCCTCAGTTGGCCATGTGGGATCCAACCACCTTAACCTCTGCACCACCTACTGGCCCAAATTAGTTAATTTTAAAAATACTATAAATGTTTTCTTTCTTTCTTTCTTTCTTTCTTTCTTTCTTTGTTATAGGGCTCATGTACTCTTAGGAGAGGGAAAGTGAGAAAGCACCCTCCTACCCTAGAGAGATGGCTACACCACAGTCCCTTTTCTTCCATTTTCCTCTTGGGATTTTGTGCACTCTCACACACATTGCCAGTGTATCTTTTTTTTTTTTTTTTTTGGAGG